GAAGCCTCTTGGCAGCCATGATCTCGCTTGAAAGAATGTAGGGGAAGGATTCTATATTTGGCTGGCCCGTGTTGACCACTTCGATCCCCTGTTTTCTTTGGGGGACCTCGCTCTCTTTAGGTCCAGAAGCTCGTGCAAGACTCAAAGTCTGGCTTGGCGCAAAACATAATCATCGTTGGTTAGTGAAACCCCCTCGCGCCTCGTCAACCCACCCACCCACCTCTGGCATTCGGCACGCCACGGGCGCAAGTCCGGAAACATCCCTGGACACATCATAGGGGTAGTGCCGAACTGCCACCACCCTCTCTTCCTCCCAAGCTGACCGACCGCCCGGGTTACACGGCCGCCAGACACCCGCGAGCCGGGCGAGCTCCAGTCCACGGGCCGGATCCCGACGGCCATCAACATACCCATCACCACCCAGCCCGACAGCTTCCACATCACCGACGACGAGTTCGCCGACAGGTTCGACTTCCCCCGCCCGGATCACGACGCCGAGCTCGTCTTCTACTGCAAGGCCGGAGTCAGGAGCCGCGCAGCCGCACAGCTCGCCAGAGACGCGGGGTGGAGGAACGTCGGCGAGTATTCGGGCAGTTGGCTGGACTGGGACAGCAACGGCGGCGAGGTTCAACGGTAAAGGCTGCTACCGGGCGGCAAGCCTCCTCGGTAGCCGTAGAATATGGAACAATCAATAATCAGCAGCCCTTTTTGTTCTCGGGATTCAAGATCCCATGCTGTGTTGCAACTCGAATTTGCACCATCACGTCAAAAACTGACAAACGCCCTGATGACAGAGCCTGTCCTCATCCGGCTGCCAGTCCAAAAACAACAAGCCAAACAGTCAACACTAATCGCACATTCTGGTCCACCCTTATCATGTACTAGATAGAATACACGACGTGCTCCCAAGCACGCGAGGCGAACTAGCTAGCCGGGGTCTTTGCCTCGTCCCCTGAACCTGACCCGATGGGGCTATGGTGCGCAAAGAAGAGGAACTTGATGGTGACGGCCAGCGCGAAGTGGAGGACGACAACCACGATCAGGAGCGCCTTGCTGGTCTGGCGGTCCGTCGCGCTCAGGACCGGGTACAGGTTTCGCAAGAGGAACGCGACCGAGTAGCCGAAACCGACGGCCACAAAGACGTAGTTGAGGATATCGATGCGTGACCAGCTAACGATGGCCACGGGGATCCAGATCAGATTGCTGTAGCCGTACAACGCCCAGCACTCGAGCAGGTTGGCCGACTCGGATCCGAAGTAGCGCAGCGCGAGGAAGAGGATCACGGGAATCGCCAGTGTATATCCGTAAATAAGCCCAGCGGCGCCTAAATGCGTGGAATCGTTAGCCCAAACTGGCCCTAGCCGATACGTCGACTCCTCCGTCTCGGGACCGTGGATCAGATTTTGGAGGGTGGGGGATGACGGACCACTCAGCAGAGTAAAATCGTATGCAAACGACGATGTACCCTTCACGGCGAGGTACTGGCTTATGGTGCCACCAATGAAGAGGATGAACACAACGGTAGTGGCGATCCAGAAGGGCCCGTACAGGTCGGGGTTACCCTCTAGCACATCCAGGAAGTTGGCGCGGGGGTACAGGGCGGCCCAGCACCTGCTCAGGACGGCCGAGGTATCGACATCGAAGAACTGCTGGTAGAACTGGATCGACCACAGGAACCGCTTCCCCGAGACGGCCGAAGCGGTTGCGGGTAGAGGGAGCCCCGAGCCCGAGGCCCCGGCCCCGGTGTGGCCGGCTTTCCTGCCGCCGGGTGCGGTTTCTTGGAAGGTCGAGTTGTGGAACTCGAGGTCGTCTTGAAGATCGGTGTGGCCCAAGTCACCCTATAGTCCCAAGAGGGGCCGTTGCGTCAGAAGAGTGTGCTGTATAGAATGGTTTCTTTGAAGGGGAAAGCGCTCGCTCACCTCGTCGTCAACATCGACGACGGCATCATAGCCGGCTCCAGACATGGTCGGGGCGCTGGGGTGTGGACACTGAGTAGCGATGGGGGTTTGCGCCGGCGGGGCGCTTTCGCTTCTTCCAGAGGCGGCGTGCGGCCGAAAAGAGTCGATCAGGTATATCTCGGACACAGGCGTACGGTAATGGTCGAGTGGTTGTCGCTGTCGTCGATGTTGTCGTGTTCGGAGCCTGGCGCCTAAGCTTGTGAGGGTCAATCTGCACACGTAACTAAGCTCCAAGACGACAGACACAGTACATAATGCAACGAACTGCATTACCTGGCACAGTGTCTATGTGGGGCGTCGATGTCGCACCACCTCTGCAGCTGATGATGGTTACCCCTCGAATCGAATGCGATGGTCCACGTGATATTATGCATGTTTTCAAGGGCGTCGAGCATATCTCAACTTGGCTGGACCAAACACGATAAAACAAAAAAGGATCTTCATTGCTGGGCATGGCTAAGAGAGGCGGCAGCTTGACTGCAATTTCATAATCGTCCATACGGCGATGAGTCGTTTCCACAAGCCAGATCCGGTTCCCAATCCTCGCAAAGGCTTCTGAATTCCAAATTCCCCAGCATTTGCTCTCCTTTTGATGAATGCCAACAAAAATCCGAGACGCCAGAGACCATGAATAGGAGAATTTGCACCGCTTATTTGAGCTTCTTCTTGGGGCGCAGCTGGTTGGTGTGACCACACTTGCGCTTCCTGCAGTTGGTGGCACGCGGGGGCAGACGCGCCTAGAGCGAAGAAAGGAACAAGGTTCAGTACACAGTCGGCCTGTAAGGCTGCCCGCCTCGCGGAGTGAGTGGGGGAGTGCACATACGTAGCACTTGCGGCAGATCATCTTGTCGCAGTTGAACTTGCTGGCCAGAGCCTTCAAGCTGGGCTCGATGATGCCACCACGCAGACGGAGCACCAGGTGGAGGGTCGACTCCTGTAGTTTTCACAGCCAGTCAGTGATCCTGTCGCGAACCGCCGGCCGCCAAACGTATCGACTATTCCCTTTCCGAGTGTCTCGATCCCCGCGCTGGCAAATCCAACGAACCTTCTGGATGTTGTAGTCGGACAGCGTCCGGCCATCCTCAAGCTGCTTGCCGGCGAAAATGAGGCGCTGCTGGTCGGGAGGGATGCCCTCCTTGTCCTGGATCTTGGACTTCACATTGTCGATCGTGTCCGAGGACTCGACCTCCAGGGTGATGGTCTTGCCAGTAAGGGTCTTCACGAAGCTGCCATCGGGTATCGACGTAAGTACGGGTTCGTTCGGCTCGGGGCCATGGCAGGAATCGGCGCGGCCAGGCGGGCGTGCGGACACGGAAGGACTCACATCTGCACTATACGTCCAGAGAGGTCAGCACCATGCTCTCGTAAAATCCGCGACGCAGAAACATCATCGGGGGGCTTGCAACTTACTCTTGGCGGTCTTTGTGAAGGGCGATTTGTTCTGGTCGTCGATGAAGAGGCGAGAGAAATCCCACCTCAAATTCTGGTGGGTTAAGCAAATTGATGTGTGCCGGACCCATTTGTCAGGCAATATGTCCGCGCCCCACTCCAACCAACCCTCTGATCACGTGGACCCTTGGTCGCGACCATCCCATCTCCTGAAGGCAATTGGTACTTGCCGCCTCTTCAACAAGACCTGATTTGGTATTAAATAAACTGTATAGGCGCATTGCATCTACCGAATCCGAATTGCCGCCTTGGCTACGGATGACGCTATGCTAGTCTTTGCTTCATGCTTTGTCCACTAATTACCACGAAACATGGTATGCGCTACCTAGCTACCTAGGCGTCATCCCGCTCTCCCTTGTCTGCCTGCTTTTTAGTCGCAATCCATGCGTCAAGCCTTCGCTCAAGCATGAAAACGGCTTTGACTAGCTTGGCGATCGACAACCCTGAGATCTCGGCTATGTGACAGTTGTTAGCTTACAGTCTCGTTTGAAATAATAACGCGCATCGCCCGCTTACCTGCTTTGGTATAAAACAGCTTGGAGTTTTCTGTGAGATCCTCAACGGTCCTGTATACGTGATGCGCCTCGCCAGGTCTCCTGGTGCCGGTGGCTCCGATCGATATACTACTTATACTGCCCTGCAGGCGAGTAAGTCTCTCATCTATTGCCGCCTCGCTAGGCTCTGAAGCAGGCTCCTTCCTGTCTCTCTTTTCCAAGGGGAACAGGGCGGCAAAACGAGCCAGCACTTTGGTTGATGAGATAGCGCCTAGTTAGCATTGTATGTTCAGAGCAGAATGACCGTGGGGGATTGGATAAAGAAAAACGAGGGAGAGAAGAGCAAAGTAAGCAGTTTCGACGTTATTGACTCCCATCGAGCTGAATCACGCACCATTAGGACGCTGTTCGTCGATTTTGGCTTGCTGGTACCAGTCCAGGTAGTCGTCGGTCTTGGTACTGTTGAGGGTCCACGCCTCCTCAGAACCGAGCTTTTCGAGATCGCGCCGTGAGAGAGTAATTTCCGCCTCCGGCTTGCTGAAGCTGCGATTCCAGGTATCCCAGTTCATGCTGGCCAATGGAGGAGCGGCGCCCTCTGCAAATCTCTCGTCGTTGTCGAATGGGCAGAGAAGTTTCGTAGCCAGAACTGTGCAAGCAACGAGGAAAACATCAGGGTGATCCAGCAGCTTGACCCTTCGCTGCTCCAGAGGAAACGTAAAGTCGACATTAAGGAACTCCACCATCCCCTGGACGAAGGCATACACTTCGATCGGGAGCGCAAGCTCTCTTGTGTACCTCATAAGCAACAGCGGCTCATTCAGGGGCGGGAATTTGAGCTTGTAGTTCGCATTGAACGAGCCTGCTAGCCGTATCACGGCCTCGTGCAGTTCGCCGCCGGAAAACGGAGAGGCGCGCGCGGACAGCATTCTTTGATACCGACTTGGGAGGCGGCTGCTCATCCCCTTGGGCAGCTCCTGAATCTGATCCCTGGTGTTAGTATACCATGCCTCGCAGAATGGAAAATGATGCTATGTTGGTAATGGAGAATGTGCTCACAGCATCAAGGTACGTTATCTGGCTGTTCATTCCCCAAACAAACAAATCCCCAACCCTCACGGGCAGGCGCATCAAGAGAGTGCCAAGATAGCAGAGCGCCAGAGTGTCAATGAGCGTCGGGAGCGATCGCTTGGAGCTGATATCCGTACTCCAGCTACGAGCTCTGGTGCTCATGGTGGTGATGTTCGTGGCGTCCGACAAGTCACCGCTCTTCTCGCTGGCGCTCCCCTCGGAGCTGTACATCTTCAACTCGGGCGTGCCGGCCTCTGTGCCCGAGCCAAACGAGCCACCAGCCTCCTCGTCGTCGCCATCGCCCTCCTCCCTCTTCGCGTCCGCCACGGTCTTGAGCCCCGCGATGTTGCGCGTGCGCAGCGCCCAGAGGTCGCGCACAACGGTCTCCAGCTCGGGCGGCAGGCCGCGGTCGCGCAAGAGCCAGAAGAGCTGCTTGCGTAGGACCAGCTGCAAGCACTGGAGGTACAGCTCGCGCGACGCGTTGCCCGACAGCGTTCGGGACACCCTCTCGCGCTCCTCCTTCTCTTTTCGGGCGATGTGGCCCGTCTGCCCAAACGCATCCTCGTCCTCGAATCCGCGTTCCACGAATCCCTGTGGTAGATGGCCCAAAGGTACACGTCAGGGAGACGAAGTGGGATGCGCGGGAATAGGCTGGGTCTAGGAGGGGAGAAAGACTCACCTCTATCTCATGGCCCCGGTCGCAGTATCGCCGTCCGTCTTCCGAGTACCACCGCTTGGACGGACATTGCTCACACGTTTGGCCCTTGGGGAATCTGTGATAGTTTCGACGTTCAGACATTGTGCTTTTTATCGAGGCACCGATCACATCACCGGGGCGTCTAGTATGTAGTCTCGTTCAATTTCATTGGAGAAGCGATTGAGGTCATGCAGGGGTGCAGGTTGGCTCCATGCTTTTCCTGTGAACCACAGGAGCAGAACACAGAACAATGCCAAAGTAAAGCTCAAAGCGCAACGAAAAAAATAACATTATTGGCAGGCTCCGAAAGGTGAAGGTTGCCGCTGCATCCTCAGCTACGTTCTATCTGCCTTCCTATGGACGCAGAAATATCCACGATACGGCTGCCAGGTAGTTCGAGAATCTCGTTGGTTTTTAAACCGCTACGTAGGTAGAGGTAGGTACCTGGTTCCTTTTTTTCTCTTTTTTTCTTGGTTTATTTATTCTGCCCTGTTCGACATCCTCGACCCCTTCTTCCTTGAGTACGCCCCAGATGCATCGTCACTGCATGTGAAACAAAGTGCCAGGTTGTCTTCGGACGCTTGAGGATTCTCTTGAGAATCTATAGCCTTGAGCATCGTTTGAGTGGCTCGGCCAGGGTGGCTTTCGTGTGTTTTTCCCTCCGCGGTGATATGAGGAAAAACAGAGTGTCAAGAGCTTTTAAACAGCGAGTTCTGTCTGATCGAAATATTCCTATACCGCCGCTCCGTTGAAAGGAGAAGAAAAAGCGCCCAGTTGAAATCCCCCTCATGATTGTGTGTATGTGTGTATGCGCAGCCACTGCGCCCCTGAGAACGAACAACCATGCAAGATAGCTGGCTAGCAAGAAAAATGTCAAAAGAATTTTGTAGCTGCGAGACTCCCGGTTTCGGCGGACCTAGGAGTCGCTGACTACGGCGACCCATCGTGGCGCGCAGCCATCTAAGACGAGCCGGAGGAAGGCTTGACCTGGGTGGGAACCTCCTCACCCATGGCCTTGGTAACAACAACGACTATAACGGAACGCCGTCAGTCGCATCCCCTGACAGGCATCAAGTGCCAAATACGACGGGGCAGACTTACAGATCTCACGGTCGTCGTCCATCTTCAGGTCGTGGAGACGAGTGATCTCCTTGGCAACCTCATCCGCCTTCTCGCTGCCACCGGGCAGCTTGATATCCTCACGCTGGTTGCCGTTAGAGTCCATGAGCTGGAGGAAACCGTCGTCGTTCAGGTAGATCTGCATTGGGCGGCGAAAGGATCATGTCAGTCTCTCGCAGGCCAAACTGGATGAGATGTGGCCGCAATTGTGGCAAGCTCTATCTCTTTCTAGGGTGTGCGTCGGATGCTTACAAGCTCATAGGTGTCGTTGGTAACGTTGGGGACGTCCATGTTGTGGGTCGAGGGGCAGAGATCCTCAAGCTTCTTGTTGGTGAAAATGTCGATGGCGACCAGATGGACTTTGGCGTGACCGTGCTTGCCGGTCTTGGAGGTCGACATGTCGACGATCTTGCAAGGACGGCCCTTGATAACGACGTGGCCACCCTTCCTCAGGGCCGAGCACTGCATCGGGTAGGTGGCCGACGCGCCGGCATCGGCCGACTCGAAGGTGTGCTCATGTTGCTAGAGCCGAGATGGATGCGTTAGTATCGGTGCAAGGACGACGACCCTGTGGTATTCTGCGGCGTGTGACGAGGACAACAAGCGAATTCAACCGGCGCGGGGAAGCTGCGGGCCAAGTTTCCGTTCCCCTGTTGCCTCTTGGTGTTCTTGGTGTTCTTGGTGTCTTCCCCTGTCACGGCGCACGGCGGGGTTCTGGTGCGCGAACGAGGCCATGCGACGGCGGGGGTTTGCTTTTTTCCCACCAGTTTTCCCCCAGACAAGAGGCGGCAGTGAGGCACACCACACATATAGCCAGTCATGGCAATGCGCTTACCTCGTCCGACATTTTCGCTACGTGAAGCAGAGGAGGCTTTGCTTGGAGGGATGGCGGGGCAAGAGAGCGAGTCTGCGGACGACGACAACGACGTGAGAGACACCTCAGGACAAGAGAAGAATAAGTTTGGGGAGCAGGAGTGGAAAGAAAAAAGTTCCTGCGGAGGAAGGGGTTTTGGGAAATTTTCAAAAATTAATAGGAAGAGGGATGGCAAAAGTGCAAGCGGCGGGGAGGGGTCAAGTCAGTTCCAGACGGGGGATGTGGGGTCGAGGGGGTGGGCTCTGTTGGTGGTGGGTGCTAGCAACGATGAGTGTGCCCCAAGTGATGCAAATGGGCGCGGCAACGGATTGGCTCGTTTCCAGCCTGCGAAAGCCGAAATATTTTGCGGCTGCGGACCAAACGTCACGGAGAAGTGTCTTTCCTTTTGCATGCCTTGCTGCTTGCAGCTTGAGCATTGGTCGGATTGGATGGCCTCCTGATGTTCTGCGTTCTGCGCTCTGCATCGGCCGGACGGGACCGTGAGGGACGCAGCCCAGGTGTTCTCAGATGTACAGGCCACCCATTTAGATGGATCTCCCCACGGGTGAAAAAAGGTACCTACCTGCCTAAGGTGGTAGGTACCGCATACCCGCCTGGGTACCTGGTAGGCAGCTGCCCGTGAAACTGGTCCCAGATCTAACTCTTTCGCTCAAGGTACCTACGGTTTCTGCGACGCGCTGTGACTCCCGATGCCACTGTGTCGGGCTGCCGGCCATGCTGGCCCCAAGAAATCAAACAGGCGGAGAAGTGCTACCCGCTGGCAGAGGGAACATCAAGTACCTCCCGCCCGTCGGCACCTGCCTTTGATAATTACTGGCGGTTTTCTTGCGTGGCCCTTGGCGCAGCAGCATGTTACCGCTATGCCGGGATTAGACTTTCACGTCAAACGTGCAAAACGTCAACCACTTACAACTACAGCCCCGCCGCGGGCGAGCCTGTCTGCCCGCTTGGGTGTAGGTAGAGGGGTGGGTTCGCCTCTTGCATACAAGTCACAATGGATAAAGAGACGCTATATATTCCCCGCAACTGTCTTGCTGACCCCATGCGCTCTGATTGGGCACTGCTCGTAAGGCCAGGTGACTCGAGTGGTATTCATCTCATTGATGAGCCGTATCTTGCTCAGGACAGTAATATGCAATGCACATGCTCTTCTTGTACCTACCTGGCTCGCCAAGTCCTGAAGCAAAGGTATATGCTCTCAAGACGCTACCTCGAAGCCTTCCTGGGCATTCGCACGATCTCTCATACCTATGGCACCTGTTATTAACAGCCCCAGTCATGATCATAGGTTGGAACATACCTAGTAGGTACCTACTCGAGTGTCAAAAGGTGTGTTATTCTTATTCGTGTGGGCAACACGAATCACTCCAAAGATCCCTTGCTGTGAAGGGTCATTGCTACTAACCTGTAGAAAAAGGTGTGTTCGCCGGATGATACTGCTACACGGAGAAAATATAAATGATCCGAGGCCAGAGAACTCTCTTTAGATATGTGTAGAATACACAACAGCGAGGGATGCATGAAACAGGACAGTGAACATGGACAAGTTGATGGGGGCGGCTCCAATTATATGGAGTGTGTTGCAGCTGCGCACTTGACGCTTTTGGGTTGGACGCTATGCCCGTGCATGTGGGACCGCCAATGAGCCCATCCGGCATGCGACAAGTCGCACCCTGACGCTCTGCAAGCCAGCTGTCCCTCAACGTCACGCCTGCCGCCTCCATTCGACCTTCGCTGCCGTCAACTCTGCCCAACTGCCAGTAGCACCAACACACAAATACCAAGACACACGCGCTTCGAATTCCAGCGGAAGGGCAATTGGCCATCGCGTCGCCCGTGTCGCCGACGCGGTGCCGTTCCGAGCTATGATCGTTGCTTCACGGAGCCCGTGAACGCTCGCTCGCCAGTCCAGCCTTCCCTCCAGCCTTCTCCAGGATGTGGCTCGACAGGCTCACAGTTCAGGGGACCTCAGGGCCCTCATCCCAATCCACCAGCCGCGCCGCCTCGCCCCTCCCGCGACGGACATCGAGCATTCGCGGCCCCTACCTGACCTCATCCCGATCGGCCCGCGCCTCGTCCTTGTCGCTCGCCTCCAGCGACTCCAGCCTTTCTCTGCTCGCATCGGCGCGCCGGACCAATGGATCTGCCCTCAAGCAGTCAACTACGGTGGATGATGGCGGCAAGGCGATTGAATTGCTGACCAAGCTTCTCGGCGACGAACCGGCGGCGGAAAAGACACCGGCACCACTAACCGAGGAGGACCTCGACCTGGAATTCGACCTCGCCGGCCTGTCCCTGAGTGAACTGGCCATCGAGACCAGCCGCGACGGGGGTTATGAGCCCTATAGGTCACACACCACCCAAGAGTGTGCGCCACGCCCCCCTCCAGGACACCCTCCGCTGGAACGCAACCACGCCTGCTGACACCGCGGTTGATAGACGAACTCGGAAAGGCCAGGTTCGAGGACTTGTCCAAGTCGATCCGAGCCTGTGACGACGTTCTGAGCTCAGTGGAGGCGAACCTTACGAGTTTCCGAAACGACCTCGCAACGGTTTCGGCAGACATAGAGAGCCTACAGAACAGGTCCGCGGCTCTCAACGTGAGGCTGGAGAACCGGAAGGCGGTAGAAAAGGGCCTCGGCCCGATAGTGGAGGAGGTCAGCGTGTCTCCTCTTATCGTAGCCAAGATCTCGGAAGGGCATATCGACGAGCAATGGGTGCAGGCCCTGCGTGACGTGGAGAAACGTGCGGCGGCGAATCGGCAGAGCTCGAATCAAGGCAAAAGCAAAGCCTTGGCAGATCTGGAGCCGTTGCTTGAGAAGCTGGTGGTCAAGGTATGTGACCCACCGCCCTTGGGTCTACGGACCATGGATCTTGGATCTCGCAGCTGGCGACTGATTGTATCGTTCAGGCCATCGAACGGATACGGGATTTCTTGGTCGCCCAGATCAAAGCCTTGCGCTCCCCAAACATCAATGCTCAAATTATCCAGCAGCACAACTTCCTCAAGTTCAAAGATTTGTTCGCCTTTCTTCGTAAGCACCACGCTACACTCGCCGACGAGATATGTCAAGCGTATAAGAACACAATGAGGTGGTACTACCTGGACCAATTCACCCGCTACCAAAAGGCGTTGGAGAAGCTCAAACTGCACACTCTTGATAAGAACGACGTCTTGGGCCACGATGATTCGGCGCGCAAGACCACGGTGCTGTCCAGCTCCAGGATCCCGGGCCCGCCGCATGATGCCTTCAACCTTGGGCGGCGCGTGGACGTGCTGAAGACCAGCAGCCACATGGCTTTATCGTCGTACCTAGCAGAAGAAGACAAGTCGACGCATTACTTGGAGACTCCCTTCCGCAACTTTAATCTTGCATTGATCGACAATGCGACGGCCGAATACACATTCCTAATCTCGTTCTTCTCGCCGGCAATTCCGGCTGCCTCCCTATCTCGCCATTTCGACTATATTTTCGAGCCAACCTTCGCTCTGGGCCAGACGCTATTGCGGTCCCTAGCGGGCGACTCTTTCGACGGGCTAGGGCTCCTGCTCTGCATCCGACTGAACCAACGGTTTGCCTTTGAGCTGCAGCGTCGGCGCGTGCCGGCGGTAGACGGCTACATCAACGCGACTAGCATGCTCCTCTGGCCGCGGCTTCAGGTGGTCATGGATCACCATTGTGAGTCGATCCGGGCCCTGACCAGCGCGCTCCCCTCGCGGCCGCAGTCCCTCACGGGCGCCGCGGCGCAGCAGCACTCGGCGGCCCCCCACGTTGTCACGCAGCGCTTTGGCCAGCTGCTCCACGGGCTCGTGGCGCTCAGCGCCGAGGCGGGCGACGACGAGCCCCTCGTCTCCAGCATGCGCCGCCTCCGCTCCGAGGCCGAGGCCTTCCTGACGCGCTACAGCCAGGCCTGGTTCGGCAAGGACAGGAGGAAGCGCGAGCGCTTCCTCTACAACAACTACTCGCTCATCTTGACCATCCTCAGCGACGCCGAAGGGAAGCTGGCTGCCGAGCAGCAGGAGCATTTTGAGGGGTTGAAGACTGCATTCCAGGAAACAGCGTAGAGACGCGCGATTCCGTGGCCTTTCGGTGTCCGGCTGATGTCGCAATATTTTCCTATAACCATTTCTCACCCAATTTTTATACCACGTAGCGTGGGTCTCTGTGGACAGTGTATCCTAGAAAAAACACCATGGAGGAGGGTTGGTAGGAAAAAGAAAAAGCGTTCAGATAATTAGGAAAGCCTTTTATTATATCTAAACAAGACCTTGCCTGCTCGGTCTCGACTGGTGTAGTCGTGTGTAAAAGTTCCATCCAGGTTTTGAGCATCTAGAGATGGATTTTCTACCTGGGTTCAGTATCCTCTATGTGTACAGACGAATCGTGAGAGTCTAAAGTGGCTGAGTCGCTTATATCTGCCGAGCGATGGCATGTCTATGGGTGTATCGCCCGGCCCCTTTGCCCGGAGTCCATTTATTCTATGTATTAGTGATTGATCCGGAGAACAAGAGGGTGATTGTACATGATTAGTGGCCCCCGATCCAGCGGGACAGCAGGTCCGTGACGTATGCCTGAGGACCGGGAGAGCGCCTGAGCCAGAAAGCCAGTACTCCGAAGGCGACGGCGAAGGCGACGGCGCGGGCTGGCCTGCGGTATCGCCAAAGAGCGGCCTTGAGTTTATCGCGCTTTTCAGCAAACTCGAGCTCGCGAACCTGGCGGTCGAAGCAGGCCCTACCGTAGGACATGGACTGGGCAGCGCAGGTGGCCGTGTCGCGCGCCGTCTTAAGCACGCTGGCGGCCGAGACATGACGCCAGGCGGGGAGGCGGTCGGGCCGATGCCGAACGACGAGCTCGGCCGCGCGGGCCAAAAGGGCGTCTAGGTCGAGGGGCTGAGGCAGCTTGGAAAGGATCGAATGCAGCATCTCTGGCTCCGAGTCGGGGGTGTCGAATAGCTCGTCGCGGCGCGAGAGCACGATGGCGGCAAAGACGTAGACGCTAAAGGTCGGGTCGAGCGCGAGTAGAGCGTCAAACAGTCGGGCGATCTCGCCGAGCGTTTGCACATCGTGGGCGTACATGGTCAAGGTGCCGGAGAGTGCGAAGAAGGGTTCCGTCTGCGACAAGTGGCGCCAAAGTGCAGGGTCTGCTGCGTCCAGTATGTCCGGGAGCAGACGCAGTTGGGCTATGGCCGGTGTCAGGTTGGGAAGCATAAAGTCGCGGATGCGCAGGACCGAAAGTCGCGACACCGCTAGGGAACATTGTGCGGGTTCGAGTACGAGGAGGAAGACCTGGCAGATGTCGTGATATCCCTGGAAGTAACACAGGTACGGATGTCGCCTGAGGACCTCGACGATCAGGTCTGAGAGGTCAGCCTTTCGCCGCTCCAGCTCAACTGGATTCTCAACTGCAGGGCGTGATGTGTTAGCGGGTGAAAGAGCAGATGGAGTACGCAGATGGAATACGAGGGTCTGCAAGAGGATCTGCATACGGTTGGGGTAGTAGACAAATGCCCGGTCAACATCTAGTTGCACCTGGTCCTCATCGCGATGTCGTGGCAACTCCCTCCAAGACGAGGCTCGGTCAGTCACGGAGGGTCCATCTAGGTCAATGACTTCATCCTCGGGTGCCAGACCCAGGAGCACCGGCCCTGAAAACAACATGGGATGAGCATTGGACCAACAATTACATGATCAGAATATGAGAGGTGTCCAGCCTTACATGCCTGTTGCCTGAGTGAGTCGGATAGAAACCCTCCTTTTGATAGGGCGAGCTCCTTGAGGTCGTCTACCCTGCGCAGCTTACAGGCCTCGCGGATGGCTTGCGCCTTGGGACTGAGGTCGGACTGAGAGCCAGTCTTGTCATTCCTACGCACGCCGCTGTTGGTGTGCTGGGCTGACACCGTAGACGGCTGTAACAGTGCTACATCGGCATCTGAAGAGAGTCCGTCGACGGTGTGCCGCCCCGACGGCGAGTCTCCTGCAGGTGCCATCCCTGATCGGCGTTTGTGGCGGGCTTGTGCGTGGGCACCGTTGTGCACACATGCGCCTGCACCCTCCTGCTCCTGATGAGGTCAAGTGCCTTGACTCCACCAGAGATCCCCACTTCACCTTCTGTAGGGATCCGCAATAGGAGAATTGATCTTCCCTTGCTGACTCGAGTAGGAGCTAGACGGTGACAGCCCTTGATTTGGGACGCGCCGCTACTCCTGGCCACGCCGCGCGGCGAAGAGGCCGGCAGTTTGCGTCGCCGGTGACTGGAGCGCGCGACTTTTGTGAGAACTCCAGGAGCCGAGGCGGAGAAGCAAGCTGTAGCTTTGATGGATTATGTGTATGGGGTACGGGAGCAAAAAAAAATTCACTAGTGTCTGATGTCCGGGACGGGAACACGGCACGTTGTCGCGCGAGTGGTGGGTGGCCTCGGTGGGCTCGACTGGTGTGCGGGTATGTAAGCCTTACTTGGGGGTGCGAAAGGATACGCGAAGGGGGGTACGCAAAGGGGACGCAGCGGTTGATGGGAGTAGAACAGGGGAGGCTTGGGCGTCGACTAGAGGAGAGATAAGAGGAGGGAAGGGGGTGGAGAGGAAAACAAGCGCTAGGTGCTGCAGCGTGGGCACCTAGGCACGGTTGCTCTGGCAGTGATTTAGGGATCAGGCAGCGGCGATGAGCGTTCAGGCAGGTAGTGAGGTGAATTGGACGTGACGTGTCTTGCACACGAGCCGTGCCGCGCCTCTGCTTCCGTACGATACAGTATGTGGTCGTGTATCCGCCAGACCGCTTTGGGCTAGAGGCAGATCCTGACACGCCTGGGGCACGCGTTGACGCCCGAATAGGCCCTGGCCGTGCCCTGAGACCCCTCAATCCATTCCAGCACTGTGTATTGACCCGTCTCCAGCGGGATCTGGAGACGGGAGCACCACCAGAGCGGCCGAACGCACCGCTCTGGGGACACTCCCGTTGCGGTTCACAGCGGTTCACAGCGGCTCATGGGTATGGTCTCAAGTGGGCTGGGTGAGGAGTAGGTGCCACCCTGGATGTCTCTGGGTACCTGACTTGCCTACTACTTAGCACGCTAGTCCCTTGAGCTCGTTGGAGCGCCAAAGGTGCTCTGAGGGCGGTTGACTCCGCTGGCACGGCCACCAGCAGCGTGAGACGCATGCACGTTCGTGTCATCGAATCTGATCTCATGCCAGGACCAAAGGCAGGCCTCATCGTCCCGGGATTTCCGGATAGTGGTGCGAAACAAATAAACCAGACGAAATGCAAAGGGGAAGGCAAGTTGCGTCTCTTTCCGGGCGGGCTTGGCCCAATCCGGCTCGCTACAAACACGATATCAATATCAGCCTACGGTTTCGTCGCCTCAAATTTGCGGCTCAACTCCACGACGTGCCCTTGTGCCTGTGAAAATCGGATCCCGAGCCTTTGGAGCCTTGGGATAACATTGGCGGCCCCTGCGATCCTTTTCTGGGGCCGAATATGATCTATCATTCACGTCGGGGACAATGCACTTGCTAGCGAATTATACCCGATCGATCGAGGCAAACACCTTTGTGCCGCTTGCCGTTTCGTGGATCGGAAACGATTGTGCCCTAGCTTCAGTTCCCGGCACGGACGCCCCCTGCCTGCGCCCGTGGCTAGGGACCTAAGTGGGCCGAATGATGTGTAAACATCAATTCTAGATCAATGCATCTCCGTCCCCGTCCTCCATACTTCTTTTTCCAGATCTCTCATTCGCTTCCCTCCAACTTGGTCTGCCCCCAAAACAATCTGACTGTGTAGGGAGTTGGTCTAGAAGGTCTAGGTATCTACTAGGTAGGTACACTTACCTGGGTTGTATGAGTTTACGTTTCTAAATTGCCGAGTTCTGTCGATGGTCCGAAATGTCACTAAAGAACTGCCCCGCTACAGTCGATGAACGCGGGGGAGCCACGAGGGCTGGCGGCCATGAACGAGCTTCGTCCTTTCCGTTTTTGATCCTCCGACGTAGCACGTCGGGTTTACCTAGTCAGGACGAGTGCGCGTTGACAGGGCTGCCTGCAGGGGGGGTGCTGCCTCCGTGTACCGTGGCAGTGGTCGCTTGTTGCGGGGACACCAGGTGTCTGGTAGGAACCGGCGCTCGCCGTTGGAGTAGTCGTCTGATACGTCGTTTTGCCGAAGAAGAAACACAAAGACGGAAAACAAAGTACAAAAGGATCTACCAGATGGCTTGGTGCCACAAGTCTAGACTTTTCTGGACAATGCCCCAGCCGCTTTTAGGTGGAGCTGAGGGTTCATTCGGCGGACTTCCAGGCGCGAGGGGGGGGGGGGGGGGGGGGGGGGGGGGGGTCGTGCG